GCAGTTTATCACGAAAGCTCAATGATGTATTACAAGAAGGACTGCAAACCATGAAGCAGCAATGAAGACACTATGGAGGATTTGGACCACGGTAACACCCACGATTTTATGGAGACTTCGGAATAAGTACATCTTCGAAACTTTACACACCACGTCCAGTGAAGTAGTACAGATAGTCCGGACAGCAGGAACCTTCCAAGTGAAAGCAGTAGTGAGTGCATGGACATCACAAAAAAAAACAAGAGTGGCTGGCTACTGTTTGGAAATCTGTCAAGCAATGATGAGCTAGACATGGGAGACAGAAAACCAGACAATCATCGCAGTATGGCAATTACAGTACCACACGATGAAAACCAAAGCGTCAAGTGGATGGCTGTTGTATAAACTGGAGAATGAACAGGAATGGCAGCTGCAGGCAGCAGGCAGCATAGCCTTTCCAGTGCAAATACCACCAGCAGAACACAACGACAGGATAATCCAAACAGGAAGCAAAATCATCAAGAACCAGGAATCAACGACGCAGGTATTACTCCAAATTGAAGCAATAAGCACAACACGAGCACGAACCAGCCAACAGAAAACAGTTCTGAAGCGAGATACTTCAGACAAGCCACAATACAGCTTTTTCGCAGTACAGACGATAAAACCAACAAGGAAATCGCTCGCAGTTGCAAAATTCCTTGCACAGAGACAAGAAACCAAGAAGTACAACAAACCAGCAGACATCAACTTGGAAAGGTGGTCAGACTTCCTGGATAGAGTGGCAGTCCGGCAGCGAGCGACTACTGCAGAACAGATCAGAAAGACAATCACATTGATTGATCGTCCCAAAACATATCAGGCTTCTATAGGAAAAAAAACGATTAGCAAAATAGAAGGCCAACTTACCACCAAAATACTGAGTTAGCGCTTGTAGCAGAAGGTGGAGATAAACACTATATGATACCTGGTACATGCTGCGATTCTTGTTCTTGGGCTTGCGCATTGCTAATCGTGTGGGTGGCGCGCTCAACTGTAAATAAAAAGGACGGCACGGCTATTGGCGCGCGCGTCCTGTGATAAAACCTCATAAGGTTTTCTTATCAACTAATGATTCGAGCAAATAATGTTGTCTCAATCTGGCCGTATTTTACGGTATGATCTGCCTTTGAGTCACTCCGCAGGAGGCAGCCTCATACAAGAGAGACGTGGCGTTGGTCAGATGCAGACTAACAGAAAGATGTTGAAGTAGGATGAGTGGATGGCTGCGTGGCAGCAGCCAGCCCTAAATAAGTAGGGACTCAGTTCCGGAATGACAACAGACTACAGCTCTGTCTACTGCTAGTGCTGGATCGTAACAATATCGAATGCCACTTTCATGAATGATTTCCCAGACGACGCTCTACATGTAATTGGTTGCTTAAACAAGAGAAAATGCGAAGCCGATGAGATTGCAAAATGCTTATTTACAAAAGGGGGCAAAAATTCCGGCCAATATATTATCAGACCGTGGAAAAAAAAACACTGTACATACCGTTTTTTTAAGCTTGACGAAACTGTAAATGTCGAGGAAGGGGAAATGTCAAAGCGATGACAGACAAGAAACTCTACTCAGAATGGAGCAGAGGGTTTCTACCTGATAAAAAGGCTATCTTTGGATAATGAATTGACTTGGAGCCAAAGCAACTGTGAGTTTTGAGAACCGTAACAATCTGTGCTATTTCAAGTTGCTAGTCGGGTCAGCAGAAACGCCAACTAATAAGCCACTTTATTATCCATTTCATGGCGCTCAATGATCACCACACAGCCCCATCGCCCCCGGAGCGAATCTTATCGCTACTGGGTCTCGAAAAATCGTCGATAGCAGATGAGCTTCGCCTCATGGTAAGCAGTCGCTTCAGACATCCCCAGCAAGCGCAGCTAGCAGACACCCTGAGCGCCATGCAACCCACTCCTGCTCTTTCCAACGTGGCTTCGTGGTTCTCGCACCAATTCGACCCCACCGACGACGTGGAATACTATCTACAAGATCTTACTCGCATGCATCACTATATAGCAGCACACGATCGTCAGCGCCCCCTACGTAGCAGACATCTCGACAGTTCTGAATCTGCTGCTGACGGTGCAGTGATAAGACAGCTCCTACACTTCTACGCCTCGTTCGCAGACAGCAGAGACCGCCATCTCCTCACGAAAATCTACCAGACTCTTGGGCTATCAAGAGCCATCACGTACTGCGTCGTGGCCAAGACGTTGCCCTTCAAAGTCCAGAAAGAATTTCTAGATCTCTTCGCTGACGACCTACCGGAACTTCGTGAGTGGATCAGCTGGCTAGACGAACTAGAGCACGCAGCAGTCAAAGTCGAAGGTGATATGGCATGCGGACCAGGCTATGAGAGCGCCGTAAACTTTGTGAGTAGGGCGATCAAAGAGCACTGCATGCTCACGTGGCTTGGACTACTACGACCACTGGACTCTATGAAGAGACTTTATCATATCGACGCTATACAGACTACTCGCAGCTTCAAATATCAGCGGCTTTCTACCCACCACAACGAGTACACTGAAGAAACTGGGTCGATTCTACGAAACCACCGGCATCACGGCAGCCAAACTACTGGATCTGGACGTCGCCGTGCGTTGTGAGCTCTCCTTGCTCCTCGAAGAGTTCCCGACCATCATCCTCATCACTCTGTTCACTAAATTCAACAATGAGAAGATGATTCACTTGGTAGTCAAACGTGGTCTGCCCTACTTCCCGAAAAACGACTTGTTAAAGATGCTGGACGCTCTCGCTCCCGCCGAGATTAACGCCATCGAAGTGTTTGTGACAACTTTGGTCGCTTTTGGCCGGAAGAAAGTTGATTTTCTACTTTCTGACTTTTTCTCCTCCAAGCCAACTCCGATTTCTCGAACTCATGATTACAGCGTCGAGCTCTCCTTTAAACGCAGATACGTCGAGCTACGAAGAAGATCCCGAGGACGCATTCGCGATTCCAGCTCTTACGACAGGAAACAATTTTCTGATGAAATTCTTCCTTTACGCTGGTCTGAAATTTCCAGATCTAGTGATCAAAAAAACTGTCGTCTTTGCCTACTGAAATGATTCATCAAATACTGGACACTATCGTCGTTCACTCAGCAGAAGACTTGGCGGTACTGGGTCGGGGTCTAGAGACTGTAGAGCTGCCGTGTCTGCAGCCTTTTCTACGTTTATTCCTCGCTATCCCACTCGATTGGCGAGAAGTGTTAGTCCCGCTAGTCGAAGAGATGCCTGGAGAGGAGGCACAGCCACTTTACGACACGCTACTTCACCTGCAAGCCACGTGTGAAGACAAAGTCACGACGGTTCTTCAAATGCTCGGAGCTCTCCATAAGAAAGACAAGACGATACTTTGTCGAGATATCCTTAGCCATCACGAAGCTCAGCTCGAAGGGCACTCTTCGTCCATCGGAATCCACGCCAAAGTTCTGCTGTATCTCTGCGAATGCGACCTCGCTCGTCATAAAGTTCTTCGCCTGCTACGCACGATCCCATTCGACAAATACGATAGTCTACTTTACTTCCTGCGTACCCAACGGATGCCTGAGCAAGTCGCGTTAACGCGTCTTATGCTCAGTATGCCGAGTGGTGCGAACTGTCGATTATTAGCCAAAATGTCTGCGTGGCCATTAGTGTAGGAAATGTAGAATCGAGTAGATGTGAATGACTTGGATTGAACGCGTGCCAGACGCGTTTCGGCCCCCGCCGGGGCCTCGTCAGTGGCTTTACCAATCTCGAAGTGAGAACTAACCAACCATCCGCTAGCTAAGACCTATCACTATGCCTAGATCCTTCTAGAACCTTCCATGTGCCGTAACATAGGATACTACTCTGGAGTCGATGTACGTGCACATCTTGCACTTCCAACACTCCCCCTCGACGACATGAGTCGTAGCCGTCTTGGTCACGAGCGTACAGCCATTCTGCTGCTCTCCGCATGATGCTTGTCAGCTGCAGCCTTTTCACTGCGCACCGCGCTCTCAAATTCGTTCAGGAAGTCCTCGACCCCGGCTCCGAGTCCTGGATACTTTTCAACACCAGTAAAGCGTCGACAGTGTATGTCTTTCAGCTTCGGCGGCCTGTGAAGAAGCTGTCCTGCTGCAGGTTGACAATCAATCTGCTATCAAATCGATGACGAACGAGATGTCAAGTCCTCGAACAAAGCACATCAACATAAGGTATCATTTCATCAGAGACGTGATTCAACAGGGCGATGTGACGGTAAAATACTGTCCAACTCAACAACAGATCGCCGACATTATGACCAAGCCACTGCAGCGCATTGTGTTCGAGCGTCTACGGGATCAGCTTCACATGGTAAAAGTGGTCGATATGGCGTAGCTTTTGAGGGAGGCTGTTGCAGATGGCAAAACTCTAGCCATTTCTCCGAAACCAGCTGGCCCAAGATCTTGTGGAGGCGTCCAGCTCGAAGAAATCAAGCCACGACAAAGCTGCCAGTGTCGTGGGTGAAAAGCAGCAAGCGACTAGAAGAAGGTGGGCACCGAAGGTGTCCACAGCGAAATCAGAAGTCATGACTGGCGCTGTTGAAGATTCAGGCTGCACAAGTACCTGGCTGGTGATGGCACCAGCATCGAAGGCGGAAATGTATGTTTTCCATGTACAAGTTATTCTTTGAAGCAGGCAGAGAAGCTAGAGAGAAACTAACCAACCATCCGCTAGCTAAGACCTATCACTATGCCTAGATCCTTCTAGAACCTTCCATGTGCCGTAACATAGGATACTACTCTGGAGTCGATGTACGTGCACATCTTGCACTTCCAACACTCCCCCTCGACGACATGAGTCGTAGCCGTCTTGGTCACGAGCGTACAGCCATTCTGCTGCTCTCCGCATGATGCTTGTCATCTGCAGCCTCTTCACTGCATACATTCTTGTAGAGTTTACCACCTGCGCGCTGGCCAGCGTATCCGTTGCTGCCGCGTTCGCTAGGTTTCCCGGCTCCCTCATGCTCACCACCACGTCGTCCCTTGACACCTTGTAGCCGTCCTTGAGCCTTGCTTGAGCTTGTTGTTGTTCCCCTTCTCGATCGACCTCTTTCGATCCACCACTCACACCACTCGAAACCACCTCCTTGTGCAGAACTCGGCCGTCCTTTTCCCGAACGCAAAGAGCGACTGCGTGTCCACCGCGCACTTGTATGTTCCGCTCCCCCTGTCGTCGGAGCCCGTTGCTTCCGCGACGACTTGAGCGTGAACTCCCCCAGCGCGTATTCCGCGTACACCGCAGTGTCCATACCAAGCCGTTTGGGCTCATAACCTGTAGGAAATGTAGAATCGAGTAGATGTGAATGACTTGGATTGAACGCGTGCCAGACGCGTTTCGGCCCCCGCCGGGGCCTCGTCAGTGGCTTTACCAATCTCGAAGTGAGAACTAACCAACCATCCGCTAGCTAAGACCTATCACTATGCCTAGATCCTTCTAGAACCTTCCATGTGCCGTAACATAGGATACTACTCTGGAGTCGATGTACGTGCACATCTTGCACTTCCAACAATTAGAAGCACTCGATGCCTTCTTCCAGCTGTTGTTGATGCTCGCCAAAGTCGAGTACAAAATGTTCGCCAAGTTGATGGGGTCCCAGTACGTTAGTGCAGAGCAGCTACAGGTTTTCATCACTGTGGCCGTGGACATGATGAACCAGGCTTTTTGTCGAGAACTCGTCATCTTCGCTGCTGATCTGCCAGTTCATATTCGAGATCTCTTCTTTGAGATGCTTACGGATCGTCCGGAGAAGGGGGTTCTGCTCCGTATCATCGGCTATTCCACGCGAGTGTTACCGGAACTTATGCACCTCTTGGTTGCGATATTCCATCGAATGTCGTGGGAGATTCGCTCGGCTTTCATCGAGCAGCTTCGAGCGTTGGAAGGCGTTACCAACGTTGAAAACCTGGCTGAAGTAGCGTCCAATCTCCAAGACAACGAGGCTTTACGGCTGCTGATTCTGCTGCTAAGCCCGCTTCAAATCCACATTCGAGTAAGTCTTGTAGCGCTCTTCCTGCAGCTTAATGTCCAGGCACGCACGCTGCTTCTCGCTAGGCTTGTGAAGATGCCAAAGAACTCTGTGGGGGCTTTCTGTACGGCGGTTTGTAGCTCGTCCTGTGAGCCCGTGAGCGCTTCCTTCTGTCGCGTGATTGGCCTGGTGGATGCCAAGTATCACACGTCTCTCCTCCGCTTACTAGCAAGCGAACCGCTGTGGTTCTTTCTGCGTCTAATGGCTGAGCATTGCGACGTAGAACAGCGACTGGAACAGTCCACGGAGTTGCTGAACCAAGTGGCGAAGACTGTGTGTTTGTTCTCTCTCGACGACAACTTATTGCTCTTAAAAGATGTGATCCGAGCAGCACTGGGCGACGCTATGCCCCTGAGTGATACAGTCGCCGTACTTGCGTTATTCCCTGAAGTATCGAAGCTTCTTGACTTCCTCCGATACGTCATGGGGTTCGCAAAATGCGCGCGTACCAGCTTAATTTTCCGCGTTCTTGCAAAGTATCAACAGCCAGAATTTATCTTCGAAATGTGCCGAATTCTCGACTTGGACGACGCCATATTCGCCTTGAAGCGACTGGATCGAACGTGGCAACGGCGACATGAAGAGCTAGACAGAGCGATGGAGTCTCTATGTCGACTGTAAGTCCTCGGCTGTATCCCTCTGTTAACAAATCTAACAGCATATTGTCGTGGATAGCTGTGCTCGAGGAAGTGTTCAAGTGAAAGACGACTTCTGTGACCTCATCGTGGGGTTTAAAAGTCTATCGGCGCTTGACGTTGGGGAATCCAACGAATCTACCGATCGTGTAGTTACACCATCACGCGTTGTGGAGAGGTCTCCACATGAAGTCACAAGTGACGAGGACGAAGACGAGGTCGATCGTCCCCTTCGATTGCCCAGTACGACGCCTCCATCGCACCAACCGGTCGCTCTTAATCGTCATCTACAGCGAACGAGACCAGGTCAAGCGTTCCCTCGAAAGCGAACCGAGAGAAAGGCATGG